TTTTATAAGGGATTTAGGAATCTTTTAAGTAATAGTGAACCAAATCCAACTTAAATTTTTGAATGAAGATTAAGATTTTATTTTTCATAACTATTTTTTTCGAACATTTCTGGAGATGTGCTAATTGTTACCACCAGGGAAGATGATTATTATCAAATCTCAATAATTTTATTTGATGAAAAATAGCTAAGATTTCTGTCTTCGGATTTTAATACTGGGATATCACTGCACAAAGTTCATTCTGCAATTCGAAAACAAATAGGTGCTTATGATTTGTATGAATTATTTGATTCTTATTACTTTTTATTTTTACTTTCACTTACTTATAAATGGATTATATAGTAAGGGAAAGTATTGCGATCGTGAAATTTTTCGAATCTCAGTTTTTACCACTTCTCGTTTTTAAGCTAGGCTTGCGGGACATGGTTATTTGGACTCGGGGGACCAAAAAACATGTATTTCAGTGAAAACTGAGATTCGAAAAATTTCACGATCGTAATACTTTCAATAACTATATAATCCATATATAAGTGAAAAATAAAAAGTAATAAGAATAAAATAATTCATACAAATGATAAGGCCTTAATTTTTTTTCGAATTACAGAATGAACTTTGTCCAGTGATATCCCAGTATTAAAATCTGAAGACAGAAATCTTAGCTAATTTTTCATCAAGTAAAATTATTGAGATTTGATAATAATTATCTTCTCCTGGTGGTAAAATAAGCACATCTCCAGAAATGTCCGGAAAAAATAGTTATGAAGAAAAAAATCTTAATCTTCATTCAAGATGCAAAAATTTAAGTTTGATTTGGTTCACTATTGCGAAGGAGGACACACATCATAATTTCCAGTATTTAAAATATTGTCAAAGTGGTCCTGAATAAGTTTAAGGACCACTTTGACAATATTTTAAATACTGGAAATTATGATCTGTGTCCTCCTTCTGAGTACCAGAGTGCTGAACCGTTAATAGAAGGACCAAGTTAGGAGGAAGTTGAAATAGCTATCGGAAAATTAAAATCATATAAAGCAGCGGGAATCGATAATATTCCTACTGAACTAATTAAGGCATGCGGGGAAGCTGGAGTTTCTAAAATACATCGGTTGGTTAAAAAGATCTGGGTGAACGAGAAATTACCTGAAGAATGGAAAGAATCTATTCTTATTCCGATTCACAAAAAGGGTCCGAGAACGGATTGTAATAACTATCGAGGAATTTCACTCCTTCCGGTATGTTATAAAATATTCACTTCAATCTTAACCAGTCGAACCACGGAATACGCCGAGGAAATTATCGGAGACTACCAATGCCGATTTAGACGGAATCGTTCGACTATTGATCAAATATTTTCTTTGCGGCAAATATTAGAGAAAAAATTGGAGTATAACGGTATTGTTCACCAGCTGTATATAGATTTTAAAAAGGCTTACGATTCTATTGACCGCCAGAAACTGTATAATATTCTAATCGAGCAGGGGATTCCAAAAAAACTAGTAAATCTAGTCAGGATGTGCTTGACGGAGACACACAATAAAATTAGAATCGGTAATAATTTGTCCGAAAAATTTGAGGTTCGTTCGGGTTTAAAACAGGGGGATTCCCTTTCGCCTGTCCTGTTCAATTTGGCATTAGAACATGCCATTAGGGAGGTAATGCGAACCGAGAAAGGGTTGGATCTGGGCGGGACAACATCCGTGCTGGGCTATGCTGATGATCTGGTACTGTTAAGCGAAGACGTTGAAACTATAAACCTAAATATGACAACGTTAATGAAAGCCGGTAAAAAACTAGGACTCGAAATAAACGTAGATAAAACAAAATATATGGTTAGCTGCAAAAATGGCGATACTGCTGGTGATATCGATATAGATGGTAATATGTTTGAGCAGGTAGATAAGTTCAGGTATCTAGGTTCAACGATAACTAGAAAAAACGAAATTGAAGAAGAGATTAAGGTTAGACTGAAGGCGGGAAATGCTTGTTATTTTTCTGTGACAAACTTACTTAGTTCGCGCCTCTTGTCCCGGAACTTAAAAATTAGAATCTATAAAACAATTATCTTGCCTACAGTTCTTTATGGATGCGAAACTTGGCCGCTTACATTAAGTGATGAGCAGCGTCTTAAGGTTTTTGAAAATAAAGTATTGCGTAGAATATTCGGACCGAAGAAGGATGAGTTAACCGGAGAGTTCAGACGGTTACACAACGCCCAATTGCGTGAGCTGTATCCGGGTAATATAATTGATGTAATTTCATCGCGGCGAATCAAATGGGCTTGTAAAGTTGTTGGGATTAGTAACGAGAGAATTCCTAAAAGGTTAATATTTGCTGTGCCGAATGGTAAGCGTCCGAGGGGTAGACCGAAGCGAAGGTGGGAAGATTGCATTAAAGCCGATCTGAAGAGACTGGGTTTGGACGGCGAACGGTGGAGGGAGGTGTGTAACAAGCGATTGGTGGTGTCGGCATCGAACCTTCGGGTTCGCTAAGCCTTATTATTATTATTATTATTGTTTCACTATTACTTAAAAGATTCCTAAAGCCTTTATAAAACAAAGAAAATCGAAATAGATACCAATAGATATACATGTATCAAAGATACAGTATACAGAATAATGTATTTTGTACACATATTTTGGCTTATAGTTTTGAATGAGGTAGGAACGTCCTTAATTAACCTCCATTGGCTTTTAATACCAGTGAAGTGGTTTAGAGAGAAGCCCTGGAATCTCCCGAAGCTTGATCTTTATCTCCAAAAGTGGAGAAACAAAACTGGTTCAGAGTTCCACTGGCTGATTTTAAATAGTGCATAGTAATCGTCTATTTGTATACATGTTATGTTTTATTATAATGAATTAATTATTTTAATTCTACTAAAAAAATAAAATTAATTTTTCTATCTCATAATAAATTTGTTCAATCACGGTAATTTGGCGTGAGCCGAATGTTACCCAATTATCTATAAGTGAATTGAGTGCGCTGGTGATTTTGAAAATTGGTGTGAGGTTGGATCACTGAAATTTGATGCTTGATTAAATTAAACAAAATATTGAGAAAACGACTATATTGCATATAATTGAATAAAATAAAATAAATGAAATTTGTGCCTCACAATTTTGTGGTTCTTAACAGATTAATTACATATTACCGATTGTGAAATTACAGTTTTAGTTTGATATTGTCATATTAGAAATGATTATTGCTTGGTTGAAATTTGTTGTCAATTTAGACTCACTTTCTGTCTGAAATTGAGCTTCATGGTTTTGGCAACCTCTTCTTCCTCCCCATACTTTCTCCACCAGGCAGTTCTCTTAAAGTTAAGCAACTCATATTTTCTTTTCTTGCCATTTCTTAAGAGAGTAACTTAATGTGTGCAAACTTCAACAAATGAACAGATAAAACTCAACAGGAACGGTTGCAGCAAGATGGTGGCCATAAAATGGTGGTGAAGTTCTGAATTGTACGACTGTTATTATTTATGTTTCAGGGGTTGATCTCTGAACAACATTAACCTATTTCTAAAATATTTTATCATTTGTTCACTGACCAATATACTATGCGAATGCACTACTATGTTCGGGCTAACTAGTTTTGCTCAATTTTGGAAGTAAGCGGGGCGAAATAGAGACGTTTTGATAGAGGAGGCTAAATACTAAGCCGAAAACGGTTGGAGGGGCTGAGCTGTTATCGGGCCAAGAGCAGCCGCCGTCGGGGTTAAGGAGCTTAGCTGCCGCTGAGGCCAGACTTAGCCTCAATACAAACTTTGGCCCTTGTTCCCCCTGACTGTTGTGCCCGCAAACGGTCCTGCTTGTGGTTTATGCTCAAGTAATCTTAGGGGAATTAGCCATAACTAAATAGCATGTAGTTCCGGTGCTCATGTTATGTGACTAATAGCCGTACTTAACTCTCACAAGTCTCACAATAACACGGCTAATATTGTTAAATAATAGGATGCGGTGTAGAGAATAATGCTGCTGCCCCTTTCTGTTTCCAAAAGTTCAAAAATTTATTCAAAAAAGGCAAGCAGTTCAAATGGATAAGAGTACTTTTTGTTTTTATTATCTTACCTATACTACGTAAGGAAAGTATTGCAATCGGGTCAAATTTCCGATATGCGGTTTTCGACGGATCTATACGTTTCAGAGACCCCTGAATCCGAAAAACACATTTTTAGCCATTGGTCTGTCTGTCTGTCTATGCCAAGATTTTCTCGGGAACTACTGTACCGATTTTGTTGCTTCTTTTATTTTGTAGTGTTTTGACTACTGATGCCTGTGACAGAAATTCGGTGCTCCATGCGCAATAGCTTTAATTTAACTTGAAATTAAATAAAAAACATGTTTTTCTATAGACGGCGCGAAAAGCCGTTTTTTTGAAAGGTAGTGAAATTTCCTACAAAACTATATAAAAATCGATCATCGACAACTATTAACGAAGTTACAGCTATTCAATTTTCAATGTAAGATTACGGGTTCATATCCTGGTGTCAGAAAGGAGTGAATGAGAGAAAAAAGATGACTAAGTGAAAGTGAGAAAATCTGTTGCCCGCATCACACAAGCTTCACTATTCCCTCTACTTTTAACAGAAATTATTGTTTGACAATAGTAAGCTATAGCAAAAAGTTTTTGACCTGCAATATTAGAGAGTATTGAAACTTTTACAGTGATCTACCTTAAGCCGGTTTATATTGCTTTAGTTTATCAAATAAATCGTACTCAAATCTTTTCTTTGATCAATTTTCTGGAATATAAATCTAGTTCAATTTTTTTTTTTGTTTCTACATGAACATATGTAAAGATATAAAAACTTTTCTGAAATAGGTAGGAAAGTCGTGTGAGTGGACACACCAGATGTTTTAAAGAAGAATACCGAGTTTTCATATTAGGATACAAATTTCACTTGATGATTATTGTTTCGTGGACCTTTCAATCCAGAGAACAATGGACTGGGTAGACCAATGCAAGGATAATCGCATATAAATCTTTTTTTCTAATTGTTCGGTTTTTAAGAAGAGGAGATCAATAAAATCTCTTGTGAGGAGTATGCTCAATCGATCTTTTAGAGGAGGAGGTGAGCATTCCTGCAATGACAATATATCAACGTCCCCTAACAAAGACAACAAATAAAAGAATATGTAAATCGTCGGTTTATTGAAAAAAGTACTCTTTGGTAGTTGTTAATTTCTATCAAATTTATTGACAGGATAACTCATCAAGTGCATAAAAATTACACAAATTCTTTTAGATGTAAAAAATGGTTTCATTAAGGCCAAGATGTTCTGACTATGCAGAGCAAGAAGTCATTTAGCTTCTTTAATGAAATTCTGCTTTTCTAAATATGGCTAACCCTGAAATTCACTATCTGTCACCTAATGACTTCTTTCACTGGATAATTGATTACATGGTTAATAAAACTAAGTGAGGTAAGTCTATCTTACATTTTATGTATTTGTAAGGTTATAAATGTAAGTGTTTTGTTTAACATGATAGCGTGCAAAAAGTCACTATGTGCGTGGTGATTTTATTCATTGTTATGTAGTTTAATTAATTATCGGAAATAGAATACATAGTTAGAATCTCAAATAACAACAAATTAATGATCTTTTTTTTTTATTATTTTTATTTATAAAATTCACAACTGTACAAATTAATATACATTATTCAGTAAATGTGATAAAGAGAAATACATGGCATAAAAATGCTTGTAGAGAATCTACCCATTATCACCCTATAAATAAATAATCAAATTGCTATTTTAGTATTTTTCATTAAGTCATAAAAGAATAAAAAATATTGTTAGATATTTCATGAAGAAAAATAAATAAAAAGTTACAACTTCTATTTATTTCAGGCAAATAAATAAAGAATTAAATATTTGTGCAACCTGTTCCAGGCAACGGTTCCAGTATTTCCCTGGAACGAGGCACGTAGGTAGGAACCTGGATCAGGAGCTTCAATCCCCTCGCCATTACAGTTAATGAAGACACTCACCGTGCTACAGCTGAATACTCAGGAGGAAACACACCACGTTCCGGTATCTGATATTGATTCGATTTTCATGTTATCATATGAACCCGTTAATCTTTCTTCCATTTTTAATCCTTACTAATAAACACCCCAATAAATAAACTAGCTAAAAAAGATTGACTGTAGTGAAAGATTGAAGATAAGGATGGTTGGAGTGTTCAATTAAATTGAAATAATAATAAATAAAAAAAATTTATTTAGGTCTGACTTTACTTCTTGTACAGCAGCCCTGACGAAGACCTGAACTTCGGGCCGAAACGTCGGCGAATGTAAAAATAAATAAAATTATTTATTTTTTACCATTTCAATTTGACTGAACACAACAACCATCCTTCTCTTTGTTTACCGATTTCTATTATTTTTTAACTAAAATACATCCATAGGTATACTTAGGATGTATACTTAAATTAAATGTTAAATACAGGTTCGATTCCACTCTTCTACTCTTTTTCTGCCACCTCTTCCCCCTTCCACTATTCGGCCATCAATTTATTATCGTACTTAAAACAGTAACAGACTAGCCAAAGTAGCTTTTAGGACTAGAATATTGTCGATAGTCATCAAACCAATACAAATGTTTCACACTTTTTTAATTTGAAGGGGATTTCTTTCCGAATTTGTTTTTCTAAGTGTGTATGCCTTTTATACTATGCATTTTTTAAATTCTTAACTTTCTAGGCGATGTTCTAAAATTAATCCAGTTTAAGAAAGCATTAATCACTGCTAAACAAACATGATTATTAAATACCAATTACTTAATAATTATAATAAAAGAGTTATTCCGCATTCAGTTAATTACAATAGCGGTAAAATTCTGTACATAGCGTATTCTGCTTAGCCGGCCTTTATTAATGAATCAATTTTTAACAAAGATCGTGTTCCAATTTAGTCTCATTTAATTGATCTTATTGATTACAAACTGTCTTTCTCTGGCGAGGTTTCCTTTTTTTTTCTTATATTTTTAAAAAATAACGGAAATGTTGTTTTCTCTCCAAATTGTAATGATAAAACTATTTCTGATAATATTAAATAAACAATTAATAAATAAAATGGTAATGCTTTATTCTTCATATCAACTTATTAAGGAACTTGATCGCAATCGTGGTATTTCTTTTAACTCTAACTGTGCGAAAATGACAATTTTAAATAACAACTATAAAAAAAATTGTTCCTTTCTAAAATATATAACCCATATACGGTATGTTCCAATTTGAATTTTTACTATCAAACAATTGTCGAATGCGGAGTACCGGTTTGAAACAGGAAAACCCTTACTCCACATGCGCCTGACTCATATATATTCTATATACTGCTAATATTATAAAATTAAACAAACAACTAAAAAATAAATAACGAAAGAATAAAAACTTCCAAGGCCTGGAAAAGAGAACGAAATAATTTCTTAAAAAGCTGTTTGAAAGAAGGGAAACAATTCCTCTTAATTTGCAATATACTTAATTTAGTAACATTGAATTCAATTTTCCTAAATACTTCAATTAATAGCAGTTCATTCGGCATAAACCTCTTAATAAATATCAGCAAATAAAAGAATAGAGGATATTTAACTTTAAATCATGAATTAGTTCATTTATAAATACCACGAACTATTGTCACGGCATTGATTCAAAGTTTGGCTAGTTAAAATGGATGACGACTTCAAATATACTGTGTTTTTATCGTACATGAAATCGGTTTTCGAATTATGTTATACAAAATGTCTCATAGGTGATAAAGCCACACTAAGAATTAAATAATTGATTTTTCTATTTCATTTATTACTAAAAAGTTTTAAATATCAGAAAAATGTTCATCTTCTAAAAAAGTTTGCCATAGAAGAGGGTGCCTGACGTAATACAAAAATTATCATCTGAATACCACCGATAAATAAAGCGAAAATATAAAAGTAAACCAGAGTTCCAGAAAAGATTTTAGCCGAAAAGCCTAAAGAAAATGGAAGAGACGGTTGAAGAAATAAAATAAAGGGACAGCTAGAGAGTAGTGAGAGGGTTACAGAGGAAGGGGAAGAATAAGAAATTCTTACCTTCTATCGATATCTTTCGTGATCTCATCCTAGATCGGTAGGTTCCGTGTAAAAAATCGAAAGATTGGTAGGTACCCTAAAACGTTTTTGCCCGTCTCTAAATATATTTTGTTTCGGTACATTTAAATATACAGCCATATAGAAAATATTTTGAAAGGAATATCTTATTTGAAAATATTTTTACAGATACATAATATCGACTACTATTGAAGTGAAAACTTCTTTAAGCGCGTTTTGCACATTTTTGTGGAGAGTGAATTAGATTGAGCCATCAGACCTCCGATGTGTAACGCTCGGGTAAAGTGGAGTGGAGGCGACTAATTGAAGTGCATATGGATTAAAATATTTCAGAAACTAAAAATACTCCAAGCGAGGGAATTGTTCAGCATTTCATCCAATCTGTGATGGGCTATTATTTATTATTGTAACTTAGCGCGAGGCCATGTTAGAGAGACGAAAACGAAAAATATTGTCGAAAATTAACTGATAACCAGTTTTATGGAAGATATGGATAAAATATCACAGAAATGAAAAATTGAACCTGCATACTATAAGCGAGGGAAATATTCAGCATTTCATCCTCTTTATAATGAGCTATTATTTATAGTTTACATTTCTCATTATTAATCTCGCCTTGTTTTCACTTCTATTGAATGGTCTAAAGGACATACCTTAGTTTTTTTTAAATATTTCCTTTCCGTTTTCATATATTTTATTTAATAAATATGTTTCTTAAATATTTTTTATGGTTTCACATTCAATTCTTGCCTTTATTTTAGTTTTTTTATCATTGAAGTCTTCAATTATTAATTCAATACCCAAATTCCCTTAAGAACTTCACTACAAGCTATCAAATAAAAAATAGGTAGCTGTAAAAACTTTTTCGGTAGTATAATCCAGTTTCGTTCCTTCTGAACTATACTTTCAATTCCAAAATTTCTCGTTTTTAATATTTCTCGAGATAAATCATAATATTTACCGAATGTCTCTAAGGTGTCATGGTTGGCAATGAATACTTATCACAACTGTTTAGGTTTTAAAAGTTAAAACATATAAATGTATTTTTCTATATTTCAAAATGTCTTCAACGACATAAAAACCAATTTAAAAGGAAAACGGAGGAATACAGCTTTACAACCACTTGGGCATTTCGGATGATATGGAAAGAAACTTTTTTATATTTTTAACGAATAAAAAAATATTTAGGTATGGTTTCTAAACTGTTAGTTATAATTTCTATCACGAAACATAAGTGACAGAACCGCAACCCAAGGCTTTTTACACCAACAAATAGATCATGAGCGAGCACAATAATGGAATGGGATAGGTTCAGGGACAGCTTTTTCTAATTTCTTAACTATTAGAGCTGCAGAGATAATTTACAATGGGATAAGCTAATCGTTTATTAAGTAAATTGTTACTTTTATCAGTTGTTAAGAATGAAGTTTAACTGATTGCACTTGTTGGATAGATATCTGTAATGCTATAGTATAGATACGAATAAACATGTTTTGATAATCTCTTTTATTAGCCAAGAAGGATAGTCATCAATTGTGAGATCTCAATGAAGTATTCTTTTTTTTTTAGTTTTTAAAAGTATTCGGCTCCCAGGACGCATTGCGATAATTCAATGTTCAATAATTTTGAATATAAATTTTTATTATTTATATATTTTTGTATTTTATTTTATTGAATAGTAAATAATAAAATCTGCCACATTGAAGAGCAATAGGTCAAATGCGTTCATTTATAGAATATATATAAATATAATGGGAGAATAAATAAGAATAATTAAAAAGATAAATACAAAATAATCATAATAAACAAGTATATACAGGGTGTTTCAGGGTTAAGTGGCCAAACTGCAAAAATGAACTGAGGGCCTCAAAACCAGAAAAAAATTCCTCTGAAAGTATGACAGCAACCGCTATGTTTAGGAGATATTCACACCTAAAGATTTTCGTTGTTATGAATTATTTACGTTGTATGAAACAAATAAAACCTATTTATTTTTTCTAACTACTTTATTAATTAAATGTAAACATTATCATTCATATTAAATGTTGTTCAAAGTGATTTATATGAGCATTAAGACGGGTTCGGCATCTTCATTACAACAAAAATCATTAGGCGTGAATATCTCCTAAACAAAGCGTTTACGGACATACCTTCACAGGAAATGTTTTTCTTGATTTGAGGTCCTTAGTTCATTTTTGCAGTTTGGCCACTTAATCCTGTAATAAGGAATGTTGGTAAGAAAGTAACCACTAAATATTAGTAACATTATATAGAAGGAAAATATTATGTGAGCCTGAGATCTCATAATACCGGAGGCACCGGACAAAGCGTCGTGAGGAACGAACTGGTCACCCTTTCTTATAGTAGCTTCTTTCGGCAGTTTGAATAAATAATGCTGGAGATAGACGGGAGGATAATGGAGGCAAATATAAAGGGAATGGCTGAGGGTGCCAGCCATATCGATCACGGTCATCCATATCATGTTGGTTCGCTCAAGTAGGTGTAGCTTCTATACCACCGAGTACCGGCCCAACCAGCAATGAAGGCATCAGCCTGAGGAAAAATATTTTATTTTAATTATCTTATTTTTCATGATTTTTTATTTCTGAGATCTTTACATAAATCTACTATTTAGATGTACTGTTTTTTTTTGTTTTTTTTTTTCTGTTTACTTTCTTTTCGCTACTAGGTAGGGAAAGTACTAATATCTGGTCAAATTTCCGATGTGTGAGAATCTCCTGAGTCCTAAAAACACATTTTCCTAAAATCAAAACAAAGGTTATCAGATTTGCAGTTAAACGTGTGGTGGTATGTAGAAATTGAGTTTTTTGAAAAAAAAGACGAGTATAAAAACAATTATTTCTTAATGCTTTATAAGTATAATTTCATATTTTATTTCCCTCTGCCATTTTCTCATATAGCTGACTATTTATACCAGTTG